TTAAACACATTTTGGTTACAAAGATTCATTGGGGAATCTTTGCCGTACCTTGGAATATTTGTGAGAGATTATCTTTGAAATGACGAACTGTTCTATATAATCTCTAATTCCTTCTAAAAACTATCACTCGGATACAGATCAAATGGATTTTGATCACAATATGCAAAGTACAAATTTTTCTGACCCAACTCACTCATCTTTAGCCAAAGCTTCTAGATACAATTTATGAGGGTGATATATTGTTCCCCTAAAGGATGAGATTAAGATCCCAAATTTTTGATAGGATCAGCACTTGCAGATCACCTCCACAATCATGACCAGAAATTCAAATTGTGTCACCCCCCTCTTGTAAAAATTATGCAAAGGGAAAAAGGAATAAAAAAAATTTTTTTTGACAAAGAGAAAAGAAAAAAAAAAAACTATCATCTATTCTAACTATCATTGAAAAGGTTATCTCAGTGAACTTAAAACCCAAGCCTCTCATAAATTTTCACTTCTCACTACTTGTGGCCAGTTAAACTATTTAATTTCCAATGGAGTAGTTGATGTCCAAGAACATTTAAGGGCACTTTCAGAAAAGTATTTCTTGAAACTTTATGCTTGAAGACTTCTAACCAGAAAGGATGTTGGTTTTCTATTGTTGATTTCTCTCTCAAGCCATGTCTTTTGGAATTATAACTTCACTTAACCAGTGGATAGTTTTAAGATTTCTTCCTTTAATCATTTTCAAAATAAATATTAGTACTTTAACTTGTTGCCAAATTGGAATAGGACCTAGACCTTGTTGCTACTTCCTGTTCTCAAGAAAGAATAGAAAAGAAAAAAAATAAAATAAAAGGATAGAAACAAAAAAGTGTCCTTTCTCTTCTTTTTACAATTTCAACTTAAAACCATCCAACTCTTTTAGGAACTAATTACATCATCGGTTTGATGTTGCGTGACTGGAAACACATGAGAAGTATGTGTCTTGTTTACTTTTTCTGTAACTGATGTGATCAATCAATCCATGACCTTGACCAATCATCTTTTAGGAAATCTAATGTGACCAAAAATTCAGGGTTAAATTAAGGTAGGCAAAATTCCCCAGAAAAACCAGAAAAAAGAAAGCACACTTAAGAAAAAAGAAGTGGGAAGCCAAAGAGATAATAGAAAGATTGGAGACTTCTTTATTCTTGTTTATTTAGATTCTTGAATCTTTTAAGAATCTTTGGAGAATATTTTTTCTTATCAGTTTTCTTCCTATAAAGGTGTTCTTGCCATAGATCTTTTAGGTGGGTTTCTTGTATTTAGTTGCAAAAATAAACAAGAAAGTGTTTTGAAAAAAAAAAATAAAACAAGTGGTGACTTCTGCTTGCTCGGCTAGTTAAAACTAGTATTGTTTTTAAGGAAAGTGTATAGACTTTATTATCATAAAGACAAAAAATATTTTGAGAATGTCTGTTTTTTGAGTTGGCAAAAGGATTAATGGAAAAAGTTATAAATTAATTTTTTATTATTGTTAATATTATTATTATAATAATAAATAATATAATATAAGTTTAATAAAATATAATTAATTAAAATATTATATTGATTTTTTAATAAGAATAAATAAAATTTTGTTAAAAAAATTAAATATATATATATTAAATCAAAAAAATATTTATATACAATTTTTATTAGTAAAATATTTAAGTTTTAAAGAATCTAATTAAAATTTTTATTCAAAATTTTTATAACTAAACTTTAAAATTGAATTATGTATAGATAATTAAGTAATAATATTTTTAAAAAACTCTTATTAGGGGCTTACATTGGACCTAACACAGTAGTAATAACGAGGTCAACAGCCAAGCACTTTAATACCAAATACCAATTTATTTATTAAACATTTTTATAATATTTGAAAAATAAATATATCAAATTTTTTATATAATTTAAAAGTTAATTTGTAAAAGGTAATTATAGTATCTTTATATATAAAGATAATTAAAATTATTTTTTATTTTATTAACTTCATATACTATATATCAAGTTAACTCTGAAAAACAAATATATTAAATCTTAATTATAATTTAAAAATAAACTTGTATACTTAATCACAATATCTTTATATAATTGAATATTATTGATTTTTTTAGTTAATTAAATAAAAAATATAATTAAAAAACCATATATATAAATAATATTTAATTCCAAATAAATTAACAATTTTAAATTTTTAAACTTTTGTTTTTAAAATTATTAAAATTAAAATAGTTTTAAATAATTATTTATAAATAAATATTAATATTTACAATAGAAAATACTATTATTCAAATTAATAGTATTATTATGTATTTTATATATTTATTTTTTATTATTTGAATATTTTATATAGTTGTTTAATTGTTTATACAAATATTAGTCTTGATTTTATTTAATAAAATTATAAATGGATTAAAGGTTGTTAATAATGAAAATTTTTATATTTTTTTTAAATTATATATTTTTTAAGTTTTTATATTTAATATTTTATTTTATTTTATTTTATGCTTGGTTGTATTTTAATTCGGTTATTATTAGTTTTTTTACTTTGAGATACCTATTAAAATTTTATATTAATATTGTTTTAATTATTTGTTTTTCAACTATTTGTAATTCTTGATCAATTGTTTTTTTTTATAAGTTACAGTATATATAAAGAGGTAATAGTGACGTTTGTATTCTATCAAATATTTCTGTTATACAGTATTTCTATGTATTTTTAAATTATGTTGTATTATATCTTTAGTATTAACTATTTTTATACATGTATTTCTAAATAAGGAGTCTCCTGTCACCAAGTCGTGTAATATACTTTGATTTTCCAATATAAACTGATTAGAAAAGAATATTGTCTCGTGTTAAGTAAAGCATGCATCGCGTGGCGGAACGGTCAGAATGTCACGCGACCAGAATTTTCAAAGACACGTGCTTCGGACAAGGATTTTTGTTTTCTTCAAGATGGTTTATACAATTTTTAATTTAAAAAACAAAAAACAATTATCATGTTGATATTTATTTAATAATTTTTGTTCTAGATTTAAAGTAATTTTTATTTGACAATTATTTGAATATTCAACTTTTGGCGATGGCGATAATTAGCTAACCCGAATTTAATTTTAATTCTTCCATCTCTAAAGTCGTTGATCGTCGCGCTAGTGAGCAATTTCAAAGATCATATAGTGATCCGGTTACTTTCGTTAGGAGAATTTACATAATGCATACAATAGATGTAATCGTACAACAAAAAAAAAATAATCGCTAACACTTTACAGTATAAAAGTTTTTTCTCAAAGGTATGATTAGCAATCTAGCCCAAATACGTTGTCAATTAAATACCCTTCACCTTACGAGGAAAAAAAAGATATTAAAACGCATTCATTCTTCCAATTTCATCAAATTTGTGATTCTTCTCACAATTTCAAATCAATGGCTCGACAACCTTTTGTCCCAATTTCCAACAATTATTACATATATTTTTTCTTCCTTTGTCTTATTTCCTCGGTAAACGCAGTTGAAATAGATGAATTAGGGAATAGTGTATTCCAATCCCCGAATACTACATATTGGCCTTGGTCATGTCAAAAAAATGAGTATTCTAGTTATAAAATATACCCCACCTTTGTTTCTCAGACAACAGTATTTGTAACCACGGTGTACCTTCTTTTTACCGTAGCCGTTTACGGCACAACTTCTAAGATGAATTACAGGCTTACCGCCATTATTGATGATTTTCTCATTTTATCGGCTTCCTTGGTACCTATCTTCGCGTGGTTCTTTACTACCAAGATAATCGCACATTACGTTGACTATTATCGTCGCATAGGCAAAGATTATGATTCATCGATAGTCAATACTCTAATTTTAACAACGACCCTTACCTTTCTGATAATTCCATTGTTTTTAATAATATTTCTTATTTATACCTTTTATAATGGTAAGCTTACCAAACATAGAAAACGAATTTTTGACGGGTTTAAAAGCTTTCTTGTTTGGATTTATTTTACGCATTCCATCGTGATATTAATTTTTGATGTTTACGATGCCACAGTAGATTTTTCTTACATGCCTTTAGCCTCATTCTTTGATTTGCAAACTTTTAATTATTTAACTGATATAACTTATTTAATTTCTTCTACCTGTTTGATTTTAACCTATCATTCTTCTAGAACTGAGAGTTGGCTTTCTCATTTAAATTATCATCGGGGTCGATTCTTTAAATCGAACCGTAAAAGAAAATTCGTTCATAAAAGGATTTTCTTTTTCTGTATATTCTTTTCTATTATTCAGTTGTTTTTTGAATATAACACTTATTGCACCCCTGAATATATTAGCACTATATTTAACCTTATGCTTACCACCGTATTAACCCGGTCGATCGTATCATTCTTTTCTGAAGAGGGATTAATTGGACCCTTAAATATCGAAAAACGTAGGATTTCAGGAGAAAAGGTTTTTTTGGGGATCGAAAAAGAAGATGACATACAATGCTTATTGGACAAGGATTTTTACATTAATGTCGAAGACTTGAGAGTCGCCGAGCGAATTAAGAATGCTGGGATAGAATATCGCGAGGCTTTAAAAGAGTATAAGGAATTTGGTTCTAACGATATTAATGATTTAGGAAAATCTCTCACATTGCAAGAAACTTTAAAAGAAAAAAAGAATACCTATATCAAAACGATGTTAGAGTGCACAATTAATAATAAGGTTTATATTGATGTTCTTGAAGTGGGGTTGATTCACTATATCCTTTACTCTCACCGATCAAACGAAGAATATAAAAAAGATGGTGAATCTGATATATTTGATATTGAATGGGATGGGTTAACTTGTGACAAAAAAATAATTGATCAAGGGTGTTCGTGGATTAAAATTCCCATGATTCCGAAAAGCTTCACAAAAGTGTAATAGTCTAAATAGGGATTTCTATTATTTATATGTACATAATGGATGAGTTTTTGCTTAGTGATAAATTTTGAAGGATTACTGCTGATTTAAAGTTTTCTCTCATAATATTAAATTTCCATTTACTGAATAAAATTTTTTGTTTTAACAATACGAAAATATGAAAAAAATTAAAGATGCAAAATACTAAATTGGAATAACCCTCACCTTAATATTCTAATTTCTTAGTAGTCTCGTAAGTTAAAAATATTGTGACGGTCGATTGGTGATCTGGAGATAGAAATTGGCAGACTCCCGTAACAATTATTAGGATATTAGCTTGGATGCATTTTTATTTGACAGAGTGTTCTATATTATTAACAAAATTTCTTCTTACTTTATATATTCTTTATTTACATTTGGATAGGGCGGTTATGGTATTGAAGAATGGATGAGAATAATGGCGAGGCGAAACTATATTACATATTCTTTTTCACAATTCATTTCCTTCTTTCTCTCAACTATATAGTATATTGCAAAAAAAATACAATATATAAATTACTTTCACTAAACTGAGCTTACAGTAAATAGATATTGAAAATTAAAAAAAAATTATTTTTTTTTGTGATAAAATCAAAATATTACAGTAAATCAAAATAATAAAATAATAAAATAATTTCATGTAAAGTTATTAATTTTAATTATATTTAGAAATTTTTATTTGATTTCAATCTTTTTATTAAATAAAAAAAATTTTTTTTTTTGCAACATCTTATGATTATATATTATCAAAATATTTGCAATGTTTTTTGTAATAATTAATTATACAATAAGTATCCTATTTAATATTCAAAACCAATATCAAAATAAGCCATATAATAATAATTTTTTTTTCCATAAATAAGCACTATTTCTTTATTTATTCATATATTACAAGATATATATTTAGCCATCTCTTGAATGCAAGCATACAATAAGTTAAATGCTAACCCATCTACCAATATTATAATTAGCTAATAATGAAAAAAAAATTTTAAAACAATATTAATACTAAATATAAGCCAAGTAAAAACTATACCTATCTAGTTAAAAAATTTTTAAAATATAAAAAAAATTTGAAAAGAAAAAAATAAAGATAATTAAAACTAAATCAAAATCAAATAATCTATAAAATCTATAAAAAAAAATTATATTTCCAAATAATCTAATGATATTACAAAGTTATTAATCTATTATTTTTATAAATAACAAATAAAAAATATATTAAATATTATTTTAAAGATTTTATAGTAACAATGTTTATTAATAATTCTAAATATTTTATATGCAAAAAAGATAAAAAAATTATATAAAAAAAAAAAGAAATTTTAATTAATTTTAATAACAAATAAATTGGTTTTATAATTTAATTTTCTGTTAAAAATATAATTAAAATATAATTATTATATTAATATAAAAAATATGTTCAAGTATTAAATTAATTACAAAAATTAAAACAGAATTTTGATATTAATTATTAATTCTTTAAAATAAAATTAAAAAATATATTAATACAAATATATTTTTGTTTTAAAATAATTTAAAATTGTTTAATTTTAACAAATATGTAGTTATTTTTCAAAATGTTAATAAATAAATTATTATTAATTATAAATAGATATATATATATAAGTAATAAAATATTTTAAAATATATGTAAACAATTCAAATATTAATAAAATTCAAATTTTAAAATATTCTGATTTTTTTAAATATTTTATTTGAAAAAATAATAATTGATATTAAAAAAAAAAGTTGATAAAAATATTTTTTTGATTTTATTTTATTAATTTAAGAAATAAAAAAAATTATACTTGAAAATATTATTAAATCTTATATTTGAAAAACTTTATTTAATAATATAAATATAATTAATAAACTAAAATATTATATATTAACTTGGTCAAGTAAATAAAAATAATAAATGTAATATTTATTTTTTAAAAGTATTAATATTTTATTATATTGTTAATTTATAAGTATTTAATCTTTTTAAATAATTATATTTTTGCTATAATTAAAAATTTTATTTAAAAAAGATAATCAAATTATAAATATTACAAAAATATTATTAAATATTATTATTATTATTATTATTAATTAGCTAAGAATATTGAATATAAAATTTTATTAGTTATATTTAAATATTACCATATATCACTGCATACAATACCCCGGGTATTAATCAATTTACTCCCTAATAAATTGATTAATACCCGGGAGGGTATTTTACTAGGAGGGGGGTAGTATTAGTGGCAGGGTATATCATTATTATAAAATTCAAAATATATACTAGTCTTACTTAATATTATATTAATATATACCCGGGTAGTAATCAATTATCAAGCAACAATTTTCTTGAATACTACCTGGTATTATTAGTGGGGGTAGTATTTGGAGGGGGTATTGTATGCAGTGGTATACAGTACTATCTATATATTAGGTATCTTTACAATTTAAATAATTTTTATTCCAAATGCAAATTAATATTATTTAATTAATATTATTTCTAATATTATTAATTTTTCTTTTATCAATTTGAATATTTTAATTGATTAACATATATTCAAAAAATAAGCATATACATTAGATGAAATTTATATATTCTATTACTAGTTTAAACTTATTATTCTATTAATTCAATTGTATTTTTTTAACTACTTATTAGAAAAAGTCATCTAAAATATTATTATAAAGATTAATTTCAGTATTTTCATTACTGTTATTACTAATTCTTAAGATATATCACTAATATAATATTATACTACCGTTTTTAGCACTTGTAAAAATAATATTCTTACTTGAATTCCAATTTAATCTTAAAAATTCTCACTAAACTTATTTGATCTTAATGATTTTTATCTAAATTGTCATTACTTGTAATAGATAATTTTTGTCTTTTTGATTCATTTAAATTTAAAAAATACTACTTTTAAAATAAATCTTTAAGCTTTATATTGGGATAAATTAGTTCAAGATTATATTTTATAAAAATACACAAAGTCTATTATACCAAAAAGAAATATAAGCTTTTATAAAAATTAAATTAAAAGTTTTTTCTTATATAACTTTTGTACATCAACCTATTTTTAGTCTGCAATTATCAAAAAGTCCAATAATTCTATTTTTATACAACTTAACTAATATTAGTTATATTTATAAAGATTATTAAATATGATATATACAGGTATCCGGTAAATTTATATATAAAAGTATATATACTTTTTTTTCCTATAGGTATTTAATTAGAAATATATTTAAAAACCTAAAAATACTATTTATTGTCTATTGATTTACAGGTTTTTTTTATTTTTAATATTTTAATATTATATATTTTTTATAATATTAATGTATACTGTAATTGATTACAATTTGATTATTTTTATTAATATTATAATATAATATATTTTTTATAAGATTAAATAATTTTTTTATATAATATATTATTTTTTAAATTATAATGCAAGCAAATTTGTCTACATATTTAAAATTTTTAAAATAAATAACTTCAATTTTGTATTTAAATTTTAATATATATTTAAAATAAAAATTTGTTTTTTTTTTGTTTTTTTTTTACAAGATGAAATACAGCCTACTGCTTGATTTTTATTAATAAATACCTTATGTTAACATACTTTACAATTCAAGAACTCATACAAGTCAATATATTATATATATTATATAGATTATTTTTTATACAACACTTTATATTTAGTTATTTAGAAACATATTATCTTGAATAATTTCCTATATGATTATTGAAGTGGAGCCTATAAGATATAGAAATATTACTATGAGTTTAAACTATTTAAACTACAGTGTTTGTCATAAATAATGAGAATCATTTTTTTATATAAATTTCGTGGGTTTTATTTATTCAGATTACAGTTTTGCAGTAATGCCCATGTAACGTCTATTAAAAAATCTATGTACAGTCAGCACGGAAAGTGACACCCAATTTTTATAAAAACTCAAATTTAAATTTGTCACTTGATTTATTTAATTTATATAGTATGTACATAAAAAAATTTTTTTATGTGATTACTAATATTTTGTCACTGCTCCATTTACATGTAATATGGCTTGAATTCTTCGCGGCATTGAATCTATAACACTTCTTAAAACTGACACATCAATTTTTGACCACTCTTCTTTTAGAGCAATCTTGAGCTCATCCATAGTTCTTGGAAAATTTTCTTGCTTTTGGATATTATCCTTCAATAATTTTCAAATGTTTTTAATGGGGTTAAGATTAGGTGAGTTCGATGGCCAATTTAAAATCGTTATTTTTTTCTCATCAAGCTATTTTTTAATGATCTTCGCGGTATGTATAGGACAATAGTCTTGTTGAAATACAATATTTCCTCCCATTAGCATATGTATAAAGTTACAAAATGAATCAAACTTATCATCAAGAATCTTCAAATAAATTTTGGCAGTAATTTTTTCTTTTTTTGCTTTATACTCATCAAAAAATACCAATGGATCCTTAATTTCGCTCGTGAAACATCCCCAAACCATAATCGAATGGCGACCACTTTTAAAGTTAGGAGTTAAACATTCGACATCATATCTTTCACCTGTATGACGCCAAATTTTCACTTGTCGTGATTGTTTACCAATCTCGACACTTGTTTCATCTGAAAAATTAACTTTTTGCCAGTCATAAATATTTTTGATTCTATTTTCTTTACACCAAGCGATACGTGCTTTTGTATTTTTTTCCGAAATAAAGGGTTTAGATGCTGCTATATGTGAATAAATTCCAGAATCATGAAGTACTTTTGCAGCAGTTGTTAAATTGCATTTAAGTTCTAATTTGGTAATAATATCATGAAGTGTTTTATGTCGATTTTTTATTGTTTTTTCTATGAATGCATCTTTTTCCTCTTTTTTAAGAGCTTCTGGTCTCCCCAAATGTGACAAATTTTCAATTTTTTTAGTTTTCCGGTATTTTGCAAGGAACCGCCATACTGTTGTGGGAT